TTTAAGACAACTAAGCAGCCACTGAAGAGAAGGCAAGATCTTACATTTATAATGAAAAAAAAGAGAGCAGAACAAACCGTGGACAGCTGCAGTGGAGGGAAGTTATCAGCAAAGTTCTACATGACCTGTGTTGAAACACATGCTATTTTGCATTTTTCACAAATAAACACAAAAATGGCCAAGAACTGAGGTGAGATATGGCATTGACAACTACACAGCAATAATATCTGTCAAGGTAAATAAATGTAAAGAAAAATCAGCCACGATTTCACATTGGCTCCTTTGACGGTCATTTTCTACTTCAGACAGAGATCTTGGTGTTATGATGAATAATTCCATGAAAAGTCATTCAGTAGTGCTCAAAAAAAGCAAACTAACATTAGGAATTACTAGAAAGGAATAAAAAATAGCAGAAAACATCCATACAGTCTATCCAGAATGTAATGAATGCATGATTCACTCATAATTCTTGAATGGGGACATAGTTCAATTCTTTTATTTCAAAAGGATTTAACAGTAATAGTAGTGGAATAGTAGAGGAATAGAAGTGGGGAAAAAAATCAGACAAGGGCAGTAAGGAAATTGAAAGTACAGAACAGCCCTGGGCAGGAACAACCAAAGACAACAGGACTCCTCAAATGGCTGTGGATGGATAAATGAAACATAAGTAAGGAGGCTACACATTAGAGATTTACAAAATCATGAATAGCAAAGAGAAGGATTTCCTCGCACACATTCCTTGTCTCTTCCAGTGTCAACAGAAAATGAAATGAGACCTGAAGGAATCAATTTCAAGAAAAGGTACAGAGTTCTTCATTCAAGACAAAGCTTGCGGACCTTGCTGCCAGAGGGTATTGGGTATGCGAAGAACTCATAGCTGTAATGGTTGTGTACGTGAAACGTAGGCTCCCTTCAAATTACTAAACAGGTATTAATCAGGAAATATTCTGGGCTGCAAAGAATTGGAAACAGGAAGAGTACTCAGGAAATATCACATGTGCTTGGTCTTTTCTTACTCCAACCAAGCAAATGCTGGAGACAGGCTACATGAAGAATAGAAGCTGACTCAGTATGGTTGTTCCTCTACTCAAATACATATATGGTGAAGATTTCAGAACCAGGGCAAAAAGAACATAATTATTTTTGTTTATAAACAGATTTTTCACTTTCACCTTCACTTCTCATATACGAACTCCTGATAAATCATCTTTCCTTCTGAATAAAAAAGGTATAATGGGAATGTGCTTGAATTTTGGATTTTTCATTTCTGTCTATAACTCAGCAGGTGGAAAAGAAGTCATTTTGCACTTTGAGTATTACCCACCAGCATCCATTTTGGACAAGAGGGACTGAATAGAAGTCTCAGCATGAAAAGTAGACAAAAGTGAAGATGATGAGGAAGAAAACAATGGCTTCTACCTGGAATGTTTAGATTGAAATGTCAGCCTTCAGGAATACACTACCATTCTCTGTTCTGCACATTTCTCTTTCACCAGAGATGCACAAGTATATGAATAAGAGTTTACTTGTGAATTAACGATTTTGATGGAGACTATTACAGTAGAACATTTGAGAAGAAAAATATTATGAAGAGAAACCAAATGAGGTTGTATTGTAAAGTTATCTAGCATTTCTGCAGAAGCACAGCTAGGGAAAGCTGATTTTATTTACTAGAGGAAAAAAAGGCCATTTGATTCAGAAACATTAATGTGTTTGTTTTAAAACTCAGACAGATATTCTTCTACCAAAAGGTTTTGATCTTTGGCTAATAAAGAGTAGAATGTCTTAAGAAGGCATAATGTCTTAAGGATAAGCAGAAACGTCATTCTTCAGCTGTTTGTTAGCCCACTCCAATACTCTTCCCAACAAAGAAGGAAAGATAGGAGTGACACTTGAAATCCTCAATCTAGGACACAGCATATTGTGTCTGCAGAAACATTCCATTTGCCAATCCAAAAACACTGACCTAAGAGATGTGTTAAGTATAATTACAACTCATAACTATCTTGGAACTTGTTAACTACATTTTTGTCTCAGGGACAAACAAAACAGTCAGGGATTGTTCTCCAGTCCAGACACCAAATGGCAAAGTCTGCTGCAACCAGCTTGCACAGGGGTTATCCCAGGTCTCCTCTGTGCTCCACATCATCCTTGATGCCCTAGGACTTAATGATTCATTTTTATATGTTTATTCCAGGCATTATGGCATGCAGCCTGTAACATGGTATTATGTTGCAACCTGCAAGAGTAGTGTTACTGCAGCATGAAAGAGTTTATATACCAAGTCCTAGGGTGTTAGAAAAAACATACGGGATAGCTGAGGGTTCAAAATCTGCTGAAAGAGGGCTGAAGACATGTGAGGAGTTGAAAGCTAAAACTGATTTAGCCTTGCTTACCACATCTATGGCAGTACCATGTTCGTACAATCAGTACCTGCAATCCCATAAGCCACACCTGGGATCTCAGAGTGCTGACAACTAATGGACAGTCAAGGATCCATTGTATGAGACAGCTTCCTGACCAGCTTTATTTAGCAAATTGGATGTAGCCACCGGTCTGCTCAGCACATGTCCAGATACGGCCCCAGTATATTATGTGGCTTTGCTTTGAGCTCTTCCTCACCTGACTACCAGAAATGACAAAAGTGAGAGACATCTTATCTGAACCTTTGATTGATATCATTAAGGTGTCACTCTAAAATTCAGGCCTAAAGGAAAGAGATGATTTTGAGACGCAGATATGACTGCATTTCTACACACTTCTGCTCCTCCTGATTTCAAGTTTATCTATCTTTGATGATCTTTCTCAGGCTAGAAGAAGGTCTCAGATGACCCTATGAAGCTGAGGGGAAATACAAATTGAATGCCTCATGTCCAGAGTATAAAAATCTTTGTCTTTGTGCTGTGTTTTTTTCAATTTTAGGCCTGACTTATAAAACTAAGATGTATAACACTGGGGATCAGCCTAGAACTTTGGCCTGTGATGCATTGTCTGTGAAATTCTCTTTTTCCCTTTTGCTATTCCTTAGTGCTATGGTAGATGAATGAGTGGATGTATTATGTGTGTATATATGTCTGTCATCCTCAGTGAGTGTGTCTGCTTCTGTCCTTGACTTACTTTTCTTTTTTCTTCATCTTGCTTTTTTCTTTCTTTTTACAATATCTCAGTTCTAGTCAGACCCTCTCTGTTCAACACTTCTTTTATTCCTAGAACACTCATAATGCTATTCAAAGAATATCTGTACAGAAGGAATAGACAGAACACAAACAGAGTGCTTACCACTGTGTAAATGATGTGCTCCCTGAGATTTTTTTTCATGCACTGCACACACTGTTGTCCTTCAGTTAAATTATGAAATAAAAAAGAAATGTATCTACCTTTCTTTAGAAGTCTTCAAATAAGTTTGAGCAATTATCACTGTATTGTCTTGTTAGGTTGAAACCAGTAATAAAAAGGCTAGAAGCAACAAAGACATAGACTCTATAGGAAATATGAATGCGTCAGGTTCTTCAGGAGCTGACAAAAGAAGCGTGCTTTACAGAGAATAGGTTACCAAGTAAAGGCCAGAAAAGCTCCTATCTTATCAGTATGCACATTAAGATTCTTGAGAATATTTCCAATACATGCAAAAACCTCTTAACTTGGTATATTATAATTAAGAACTACATAATGTTAGTCTCCCATTAAAAAAATTACTTAGGTCACAAATGCCCAGCTCCTATCCTCAACAAATGGAAGGCTTTGTCTGAGCCAATGGGGAAAATAATTCTCTTGTTCCTTTTAAAGGATTTCATCCTGTTCACTGGCTAGAGGATGAGTAGAATAGCCTCTATGACGGACTGCTTGCATGGCAACATCTTGAGAAGAAAACCTCTCTTTCCTCTTATCCCTACTGTGATTTCAATAGGATTTGATTTGGGGGATTTCCTGAGGGCATCATAGTAACTGTTTTTGGGGCCTGGGAATACGTTTTCTCCTCCTGGCAGGCTCAGATCAGTTGAGAGAGGGAGATTGCTTGGGGATTTTGTTGTTATTTTGTTTAAAAAACTTCCTACAGCAGTGTACAAATTCAGTGTTGCATAGTAGGTTGTAAATGCATTTTGGTTTATAGTTTGATAGATGGCCCCCACCCTTGTACAAGGAAGGCATCAATAACCTTGGGTGAGTATAGCAGAGGGCCACTACTGTGGCTTGAGGCTGGAGCAGTGAGAAGAGGCTGAGGAAGCTGGGCTTGCTCAGCCTGGAGAAGAGGCTTTGGAGGATGGAAGAGCAGTTCCCAGAAGCTCCTAGGAGGAGCTTTCCTAGTGATACGTGGCAGGAGGACAGAAGACAACAGGCACAACTAGATTGAAACAGGAGAGGTTCAGAACTGGGTAAGAATCGACTGGATACATCTCTGAACGATCTGGGCTGGCATCACAGCTGACCCAGCTTAGAGCAAGAGGTTGGACTAGAGGTTTCCTGAGGTCCCTTCCAACCTGAATTATCCTATGTCCAATGCCCATTGCTCAGCAACAGAGCTAGTTCCCTTACAGTCTGAAACAGGAAACAGATGAGGCGAAGGCATCTTTTAAAGAATATGTGCAATTTTTTCTAACGTTTAGCACAGCAAATCAACAATATTTTTTTGAAGTCCTTCACTCTCTAGACAGCTCTGGAAGCTGCCTACTCATCCAGTAGAAAGAATTAGAGACATACTCTAGCTTTCACTGGATGGGCAGGGGGTGTCACACTACATTCTCAAGACAAGCTCTTTCTTCCTATCCTTTTAACAGAATGATGTGCTTTTGCTTTGAATCAGCCCATCCATACAATGCTCAAGAAAACAGATTATATGAAGAAATAAAGAGATTTTTTTTTCTAGTAATCTCCACAGAAGGCTCCAAATTCCTGAAGGCAATATTATGAACTGACTTCTATCTATCTATCTGGTGAAAGCAAGAACCTATAAAAACTTCTGCTTCATCCGAAGGCTACAAATGTACAAACCACTACATTACCTGTTACCATGAACATGAGAAGCACAAAATGCAAAACTGTAATGGAGCAACGTTGGATCAATGACAGAACCATTTTCTGAATGTTCAATCAACTCATTAAGGTAGCAGAGATGGCGGTGGCAGCCTCGCACTCCGTAGCGAGCGCAGTATTCATCGAGCACAAACACCTGGCCGGGGCTAAACCAACCCTGAAAGAGAAGAGCAAAAAAAATAAAACACATATTCAGATTTCTTTTTCTGCTCATTGCTTCTGGAGTATTGTGTCCAGTTCTGGGCTCCACATTACAAGAGGGAGAAGGCTGAGAGGGGATCTAATCAGTGTCTATACGTACCTCAAGGGAGGGAGTGCGGTGCTGGTCTCTTTTCAGTGGTGGCCACTGACAGAACTAGAGGTAATGGCCACAAACTGAAGCACCAAAAGTTCCACAGGAACTTAAGGAAAAATTTTTTAACAGTGAGGGTGACAGAGCACTGGAACAGGCTGCCCAGAGAGGTTGTGGAGTCTCCTTCTCTGGAGATCTTCAAAACTCGCAGTCCTGTGCCACGTGCTCTAGGTGACCCTGTGTGTGCAGGGGGGTTGGACTAGATGATCTCTAGAGGTCCCTTCCAACCTTAAGCATTCTATGATTCTATGATTCTACGCTTTTAAATCAAACAAAGAAGAAAGAAATATTTTTTATATGCATTTTATATACTTTTTAGACCTGAGTGATTTAAAGCTGACTATTGAGGATAGAATGGATAGCAGCAAGATTCAAAAAGAGGCCACTTTCTAAAGAACTATGGAATAGATGATTTACAAAAACTGGCTAATACATCGAAAATCTTCTACAGATTCAATTATATCAATATCTGACACTCTACCTAATGTAAAATAACTATTCACTTGATTGGAAATCCACAGCTACTAAGTGGCAGCTTTAAATAGGCGATTTATTTATTTATTTTTCTTAACTGTGATATTTCCCTCTCCCAATCCCTGCCAGGTGACTAAAAGAGGTTGAGAAATAACTGAACTTAATGATTTTGCAGGTCATGAATTTATAACATCAATTTAGGAGCTGAAGACTACATTTCAATGCTGCTTGTGAATACTTCTGCCAGATCAGAAGTCTTAACATTTACACAAAATATCAGCAAAAATTGTAGGAAACAATACTTGAAAATATATCCAGTTCAAGTTATTTGTGGTTAAACAGTTGCATGTGAGTTGCATGTGATAAATTCTATGTTCTCTCTCAGATCCTGGATTCAACATATTATTTGTTAGTGAGTATTGCTCACAGTTATTCTTTAAATCTGTTTGGTCCTGAGTCACCTCATTGGAGTTAGTGCTTTCACTGCCTTTATTAGTCTTCAACTATTTCTAGAGATCATTTAGTTTTATTACACCTAGTTTACTCAGAATTTTAGACTAATATCTAGCTCATGTAGTTTACATGAAATATTTGTTGGAAAATAAAACATTTTGCTGGAAGGAGAAAGAAAGAAAGAAATTTTAACTGAATTTCGTGTTTATGAAATAGATGATGAACAGCTGAATACATTTCAACTCTTAAAAATAGCAAAATGAAATAATCCCGTATTAAAACTCCTGTATGTTTTTAGAATATAAAAAAATTCAGCAGAATGCAAATTTTTAAACATCTCATTACAGGATTTCACTCTCTGAAAGAGATCTCCTTTAGTGTGGTCATATGCTTTTCTTGCCCTTGCAAACTCCACAAGATGCATAACTCTCGCCAATGCTGAACAGCTATGCAGTACATAGTATTAGAATATTAGAGAACTACATAGTTCCTAATTATTATAAAACTGAAAAAAAACAACCAACCAACCAAAAAAAAACATCTCCCCACTGTCTAAGAGGTTATGAAATTATAAAGTTTAGGTCAGATAATAGTTTAATCAGAAACTCTGCTTATTTCTCATTCTTAAAAGAACATTTAAAAAAAAAACGGTTGCATGTATGATTGATTGTATTTTATGGAAATATAAGGATACCCTTTTTAAAAAAATATAGAAAATAAGCATTCAGGAAAAATATTACACTGAAAGATATGCTCACACATTCTATTTCTTAATATTTTAATAGTAAAAATATGTATAATATGTTAAATATGCAATTTCACCAAAAATGATTACCCGTTCTGCTTATTAAAAGATGAATTTTAAAAAAGAACAATAACAAATGCATCTGCTTTATGGTTGCTATAGCACTGTGTATTTCAAATAACCTCTCCTGCAAGTTCCTGATTTCAAGGTTATATTAAGTGTCTTACTATATTATTATTATGAAAAAAGATTTTGACCCCAATGCACTGTTAGAAAGCTAACCATTTTCTCTTTGAGTGCCAATTACTTTGTACAGATGTACCTTCAGGCCTTTTCTTTGATTCAGTGTGCAACCCACAGACAGAAAATGAGTCCTTTAACTTTTTCTATACATACTTATCTGGTAGTGTTTTAAAAAGGAAGCAACTGTCAACAAATAACCAAGTATTTTATATTTTTATTTTTATTTTATTTTTTATTACAAACAAAAAGATTATTTGCTGCTGTTGGATTAGCAAAGTGAAAAATATGAGCTGCATAACTTTTCTAGATATTCATCAAAATTAGGTATATTTAGGTGTCAAAATTAAGTGCCTAGATCACTATTCCAGACATTTTCAAGTGAAATATAAAGAAATAAAAAGATCACAAGGTCTGATCCACACAAAACTGGCTAATATGTGTGTACAGTCTGACTTTTATAGGATTACAGCTGCTCTTCCCTATTGTAAATGAAAGCAGAGCCCCATCTTCAACTCCTAACCTCTAAAAGCACATAATGGAAATAATATTACAAAGAAAAAGAAAACTGCAGCTGTAAATATGGGAAGAATGTTAAGTCAGTCTCTTCTCTTTTATAGCTGTCCTTAAACATGAAAAACACACATTCTGAAGCAGAGGTCACACTTTACTTGTTTGTGTTTAATAATTATGCTCTCAGCTGTTACTTAATTCAGGAAATGCAAAAATATTCATAAATCTACTGCGGTTTTTCTTCCTTTCCTTTGGCGCTTCTCCTTCCCCAGAGCACAAAGGAATGAAGAACTGCAAGACAGATGACTCTGTCTGATATGTGGCAGGCTGCATTTGTCCCTTAAAATGTCTTTACAGGTGTCAGTTATTCCTTCCAAAGGGGCTATTGTGATTATCAAAATCTTATGTTTTTATTCAAACTGCCATAGAGGCCATGATAAACTTTAGCTGGGAAAATCAGAGACCATCTGAATCTCTTTACTTCTCTATTGAGTGGCCTAGCAAAAGTTCACAAGTATATAATTTTCAAATTTGAAGCCAATCGATTGGATTCTTTATTCCAACGACAACCACAGCTATTGAATGAACCAAGATGAAAGGACCACTTAGTAACAACTATTTCTCACTTTCTATCTATCTCCCAGGCAGTACTCACCAAGCAGGAATAGGAATCATTCAATCTGTGATCCAAGGTCTGCCTCTGAAGCAGTCTAAAGAGGGAAGCATGGTCAAATTTGCAGGGGTTAGCAGAAATAAACTCATCCATGCCATGTTTCTGACCGCGATCTGCATCTGTTCATAGAAAGGAGAAAATGTGTAGAACATCACATGTGAGTGTGCGTGCCCATTTCCAAACAAAAAAGGGCACACACGTTATATAAGTCCCAATATATACACTTTCTTGAAAACAATTTACAAAGAAACAAGTACATGGTTAGGTGCTCCATGTATTTCTAATTACAGAGCCTTTACAGTCTGACAAATAATTTTAATGAATTATATTTGTATTGCCATAAAAATCTATGGAGTGTAACAGTGAAAAAAATAAAGTTGCAATCAAATGACAAACTAAAAACAATAGTTTAGCAAGCTACCTAAAAATACACCATAGCATACTAAAATATTTCTAAATGCACTCTTTTCTAGTGGAGCTCTTAAAATGCTACAATTTACAACTGTTTATGAATACGAAAAATTATTCTACCATTTCCTGAATTTGTGTGACTCTCTAATTTGAGTGAGATAAATAAATAAATCTCCTTTGCTCCACTGGAAAAAAAAAAAAGTTTTTATTTCTTTTCTAATAAGGAAGAACATATTTACTGCAGATCCAAGCAGCACTCAGAAATATTCCTCATGGCTTGAACACTACTTCTCAAATGGCAAACTGGAGCAGAAATGAACACACTAGCTTGAGCTAGGTCATTTCCAGCCTTCTTTTTGTACTCAGCTTTTAATGAGACAAACCTTAATGTAGTAATGGCAAAGAGCCCCTTCAACCTTCAAGCAAAGAGTAGTGAAAAAGGGAGCATCATTTTTGTGTAAATAGATGAAGAAAACATACCATCCCAAATGGCACTTCAATCAAAGGCCCAAATTTATTGTTCTTCACAGATTGCATCTTTCAACGCCTCTAAACCCCGCGGGTTTATCAAAAGAGAAGCTCTAGTGATTGCTTTCGTTAATGCTATGTTTTGTCAAAGTCCTCAATGTGAATTATCTATCAAGTATGGACAGAAAAAGCCTTACAGTGCCCAAAAGGACTAGTTATATATTAGCACATTAGCTGTCTTAGATTCTATAGACTGTATCGGGGTGAACAGTCTTATCAACTTAAAAATTGACTTCCCCTTTCAATAGGGTCTTACCTCTTTGTTCCTTTAAATTCAAACCTGAGTCTTTTTATATTCATTACTAGAAAAGTATAGATCTAAGTGTATCCTAAATGCAATTCCAAAAAAAACCCAAAAGAACAAAAAAAACCTGCATAATACAAACTGAAAATTTCTAAAGAAAAGGAGACAAAAGTTTATTGATTAAACCCAATTATAGAGTCAGGTTCATAATAAAACTCAATATTGATCTGTGGGCATGATGCTAACATAATCAGTCACATTTAGAAATTTAGCCCCAGATCATATTGATCCATGTCAAATCCAACTTTCAGCTGTATTTGCGGATGGAAGAATTATTTAATTCAAGCTGAAGGATCTGCAGCATCACATCCTGGAAAGATGCAGAAACTAATTCATATCACTTGGCTTTGCATTGTCAAAGCAAGAGTCACATCCATGTGACAGATTTCACCAAGGTGGTTGCAGCAAATAAACAGTATGACAGTACATCAATGGTATAAGGTATGAGACTATCATCCCAGAGACACAGCAGCATATTTTTTTTAGGGTTTAAGGTGCAGTAGCAAGTGCGATTACACAGATCAACAACATTTCCATGTCCATTAGACCAGCCTATCAGTAATCACAAACTCAGCCCCTATTTTGACTTAGTTACATGAAATGTTCTTTCTTAAATAATTTAAAATAATTTTACTTGAACACATGAATTCAAAGATATAACTAACATGAATTCAAAGATATAACTAGTATCAACATACTGTGAACATAACTACATTACTGAAACTATTAAACTACTATGTAAAGTTACCTATAGCTCCCCAAATGACCCACACACAGATAATCATTTTTCAGACACAGTCTGCTTAATGTTACTGTTCTATGACCTTCTTGTTGGTTTTCCCTCTTACATCAATATCTAAGTTATGAAATGATAGTTTAAAGAAAAGAAAAAAGGATTAATATCTGTTTCAGTCATTGCTTTCCTATACAAATTAAACATAGTGGGACTTCTCCTAACTGGCTTGATCTTTTCCTCTGGTTAACTATGAAAATATAAAATAATTCTTCCACCCCACCCCAGTAATTAATTCTATTCATCTGCAATCCAGACACTGCAGCAGACATCTAGACACTGGATGTAAAACAAATCAAATAAACAAACATTCCACTTTCTGATACAGTAGTCTAGACTGTCAGAAGGTTAGCACTGATGGTAATGGAATCTAGAAAGAAGAATTTGCTGATAGATAATTTGGATAATAAGAAAAAAATATTTATTTTAAAATAGACATACTTGCTACATTTAATTCTAAGCAATAACCAAGACTGACCACCATCTGGCATAAGTGAATCAAACAGTCCAAATAATATTGTTGTCAAACATTAATAGAAATTCTGATAACAAATATATTCTAAAAATAGAGAAACAGTTAAAACTTACCTTTACTAGCTGTGGGCAAGCAGAAAATAATAGAAAAATAGATCTAATGTAATATATTAAAATTTACTTTGTCATTATGATAGACATCCAAGAGAAATAGTAAATATTTTTGAAAGAGAATGAAAAGTATTGTTGATAATCTAAGAAACTGAGAGAAGACTGTGTGCTAAGGAAGAATAATGAGTGTTATATGACCGTGATTTAAAAATTTGTTAGTATTAAACTATATTTTTCAAATAGCTGCAGAAATGAGCTTTAGAGGCCCTGTTCAAACTATACAAAAGCAAAAGACAGAAGAATTAGTATATGATGGTATATAGCTAAGAAAAAAGGAGAATTCCATTTTCACCCTTACACATTCTCAAGCTTGGGAAATATCAGGAAGAGGAAAAGGGGAAAACTCTGTAGGAATACTACTTCTCCAGCTTTTCCACAACGTACTTTCTTCCCTTCTTAATAAAATATATTGTCCTGCTTTCAGTCACCTCTAACTTTCTCAAACACTCAAACTTTTTTGGCTGCTATTTCCACATTATGTGGTCTGCTTCAGACTGCATTATTATTTTACCACTTTGAAACTGTTATCTAAAAATAATCATCCACTTTTTAGATCGAGACAGAAAAAAAATATGAGGTATATATCTTTAAAAACCATGATAAAAACTTAGAAAAGCTCTTGCTGAGATTTTAGCAAATCTTTTGGGTATTCTTTTAGACGAGAATATTCATTTTAGAAGAATAGCATCCTGAATACGCCCTCTGCCATCTTTGCAGAAAAACTGCCCGTTTTAGCTGCAAAACCCATAAAATCACCATCTATTTGGCTAAGAGTTTCCTAAGTTAAGACTACCAAGAACATCATGTTTACACCATGTACTTGAGGGATTCTTAGTGAGAACCAAATCACTAAGAACTATATCTGCCCTGTTTAAATCCAAAACCTGGGGCACATTTTTTGTGACATTTCTTCTCTGCTAGGGTAAACTACTGGCATTGGCTCTGTAAAATGATGCTCCCCTCCCTTTTGTGGCTCTCATGGACATCCCTGCATGTGTTTAAGCACCGTGGAAGCAATTTGACCCAGGGCTCTGAAGTGTTATGTACTCAGAAACATAGGCCAGAGAGACAATCTGTGTAAAGACCTTCTTATTTAAATATCTGAAAACCAAATAATAGATGGAGAAAAGGTAGCATGATGCAAGGAACCTTGCATTATGACCAAGGTTGGCCAACCTGGGTCAACTGTAAGACTGGGGATAGCGTATTGCCAGTATTTTGCCATATGAGGGATTTGAAGAGGAAGGTTTTGTATCTTTTGAGTGGCAGAAGAAGAAGAACAAAGATGACTTACTGACTGTCTGTTCGGTTGGTGGTGGTGCTGGCATTAACCTAATGGTATTAAATGAGAGACGGGGATAGGTGGAGACAAGCTGGAAAAGCACATGAAGGAGAAGGGAGGAACATGCAGAGATGGTGAAGTTATTCCATGCTTTCAGGGACAAAATGTGTATGGTAGATAAAAAGTGCTGAGGAAACTATGTAAAATAAGAAATATCTTCTATTTCACTTTGTTTATAAAAGATTGAATAAAACGAACACACAAGCATTGCACAACTATATTAAACAAACTGTACTACAGGAACATTACCTGCTATTCAAAAGCTCAATTACTCAATGCCACTATAAGATTAACTGGAGGCATTCTTTGTGCATATGTATTATCACACCAGTAACATAATGTAAATCACATTCTGCTTATTCCCATAAAACATCATTTAAAAAATTGAAGGTGATAATAATAAAAATTAGAAAGAAATAATGAAATAACGTGGAAATGAATCCATGGCTGTCTAGGACTAGAATGATGTTGGTTTTGCATTGCCTCAATAAAACACGGAAATCCCCTCATATGCTGTTGTCATTCCTTTGTTATGGTGAAATTATGAACAGACTGGCCATTACTTCTCTGGCTTTTCTAACTGTATGACTACATCTCCCAGTGTATCAGGCATTAAGAAGGCAATTACCTTCTGCACCTTGGATGTGACTGAGATGAATAATTTTTTTTTTGATGCTTTCCCTGAAACATTACTACCCCTGGAAAACTTCTGGCTTTGTCACTGCTGTGTTTTCTTAAGCATTCTGTGATTTGGGTTGCAGCACGCCTGCTCAGTATAGCAAAAGTTAAAATCAGTCTCTTTTCCTTGATCACTGCTTGGCCTGTCTTCACTTTTGTTTTGGACCCACCTTTTACAACAGAAGTACAGCATCAAGTTGCTTGGAAATTGGAATTAGGAATTTGATTTCAATACCATACTTACATGTGTTTATCATATTGGCAATGAAGGATATCATTTTTTTTTCTGAATGTCCTACAGAAATAATCCTAATCTGTTACACATCTTGAACAACAACATGTACATATTCAGTTTAACTAGAAATAAAAGGCTTGGTCATTGGTATACTGCTGCTGCACTCATGCAAAAACAGCATTTACATTTTTTGTATTTGTGATAATTGCTCTGAAGAGCAATCAACAAATATTTTATTATAAATACATGTATAGTTCCTTTTCAGGAGTTACTGATGTGTTTGTTTTGATTCCACTCTGAGGGGGATAAATTTTGTTCATGTTATTTTAAATACTCTTTTGTACAAAGCCTGCAAAAAGTTGCACATAACTGGCCCTGACATAATCAACATTTTGTTTCTGTTGCTCATGATATTCTTTTTTTTTCCAAATTGTGTATCAACCAAGCTTTTATTTTAAGAGATTATTCCTTATATTAATTATCATATGACTACAGGTAGGGCTGAAAGAGTACATCAAAGAGTGATGATTAAAAATGCAAGTCAGTGCAAATTCAAGGCATATAGGCTTTCAACAAAATCTAAATATGAAAATTTGAAACTTCAAAAAAGAATCTTCTTTGTGTAACTTTAAGGCTACCCTGAATTGGTCACTAGAAATAAATATGAATGTCTTCATATTAATTACCTTGGTTGCTATATTATACTAGTTTAGGATTCTCTTTTTATTCTTGCAACCTAGATAAGGAGCGACATAAAACTCCTGAAAAAGTTCATTTTTAATTTTGTGAGAAAAAAATGTTAGTTACATAATGCATTGCTAAATATTATTACAGAGGTTCAGTGACTATTGCTGTGTGTAGGGCAAGGTTTTGAGAGAGCAAGTTACCTCCCTCGGCCTCGCCAAGGCTCAGCAGCCCAGCAGCAGGGACGGACACACAGGGTTTCCACTGTGCTCTGCTGCACTCAGAGCTGCTGATATCCATATGGAAAGGTCTCCCGTGGAAAGCGTTCACGTGGAAAGATTTCAGAGTCTTAAAGGGGTACAGGAAAAGGAAATAGACTCCTTTGAAATTGGACGTGGACAGGGAAAACATTTTGGATAAAACTGTTATGGCAGATTCCTTCAAAACCAAACACAGAAGCTTAACCCAGGTTGGAGACTCTATTGATCCTAAGATAGAGTACTTGAAAACTAAAAAAAAAATGGCTAGGGAGGAGAAGAGTTTGAAAGCAAATGTGAAAGTTTTGCGGAAACACTCTAAAAGATTGCTCCTTTACTAAAGAATGCTTCATTTTCTCACAGCACTTTAACTCAAACACCTACAGTTCTATTCAGAACCTTTAAAACCAAAGCACCGTTTGTTTAAAAAAAATGCAGTCAGAAATTAGCTGCCCTTTCAGTGAAAACAATGCAAATATGACATGTATTCAGCAGTGAAAATGATTCAAATATAAAATGCAACTCTACTTCCTCTAAAATAAATAGTTGCTGTTAGAATTATATCATATACTGAAGCCTTAAGTCTATTGTATTTATGATAGACCAAGTCCTAGATATCTGACACACAGCATCTGGTCCAGTGCAAACGCTACAAAGCAAAGAAATTTACCTTAAAAAAAAGATGAAGTCCTAATTTAAGTATTATTATGTGCAATTTATTTATATTTTCCAGAAGATGCAAATATAAGGCACTGCATCTTCTCAAAACAAAAAAAAGATGAGGTTGTTCTGGAATTAGCAAGGAATTATTTTATGTGTAATAAGGCAGCAATAGCTGCAAAAGACACAGCGTTTTGCATCTAAAATGAGAGGTTTCTTAATTGTTCATGTCATAGATTGTAGGAAACAATTCTACTACAACTTATAAGAACAAAATCCTCCATGAATTTTGCCATGATAATATAAAAAATAGTGACTGTCTAGGAAAAATCATTCATTGTCATTTATGAATTTAATTTCATCAAAATATTAAAAGGACATTAGATGAAATTCTTGCAATTTGGCAAGTTACCGTTTTTAGCTAATAATACAATGCTAACTTTGGAAGGTAGAATTTTGACTACAATATTTTTTCTTTTTCTTTTGCAAATAATTAACATCAACTTCCATAACACCCATGCAATACAGCTAGGTATGTGACATATGAATCCTCATCTAATATATTCATTTGTCTAATGACAGCTTTCATTTGCTTTTCTTTATTTGTCAACAGCGTTTCAGGACTACAGAAGATGCTTTTTTTTCTCAACACAATATCTAAAACTATTGAAGCATGTCTCCTTTAAGTAGGTTTTCTCTTCATCCAGAAGTTTAAGAATATCTTCTTTTTTGCAGTCTATTACAGGTTATTTTTGTACATCAGGACAGCTAAGTTGCATTTCTTATGTCCCTAAAGGATGAGGAAGATTGGGATAGACTTGCAAGGTTTCAGTATTCTTAAATTACATTTGCTTTATACAGCCCTAGTTTGTTTTCTTTTCTCTTAGGTAAAGGGGATTTGTGTGATATAATTTGAGAATGAGCACAATGTGATCTTGTATTGGTTGGAAACGCTTACATGGTGCATCAAATGAAAAACAAGTAGTTGAGAAACTCTCTGGTCACTAATGTTGCATGCAGCAAAGCAGAAAAACTGCAAGTGAGTTTCAGTTAATATGTAAATTCGCTCTCCAACACCTGACTTCATATCTTTATTAAAAATGACTTCAGTGACTTCTTGCACATTGATTCATTTCATTATATGAATTTCGCCTTATGTGCATGCAATAGAAGAATAAATTTTTCTTCACGAAGGCAGAATTGCATTTATTACTGAAATCAGTCAAACTGATTCTTTAAAACTTCACATTAACTTAAATTTCATATTAGTTACTCTACTGCCAGGAATGTCATGAATTAATTACAAAATACTGACATTAAAGTGTATTAAAACCAATAATATGTTAGATTTCTGATTTACATACAGTTCATCATTTCAGCTTTGGCAAGTTGATACATCCATATGAGGGAAAAATACATGATATCAAAAGGTTTTTAATTTTCCCTTAAACTGCCTTTAAAACAAACTTTTTTTTTTCATTTTACCCAAGTATGGCAGTCACTCTCACTGACTAAGGTAAAAACAAGATATGGAGACTTGCCTTTCAAGTTCTTTATTACTATCATTAATTTAATTGCTGAAAATACAATATATGTGAACTTACAATTGTGTTTTTCACATCTCAGCTTTGCACCCATGTTGCAAACAACACTTTTTCATTTGTTTTTTGAAGACTGCAAGTTTTTTACTCAAAGCAGTATGGGCACCATGTAGGCTTTAAAGTGAAAACATTCTGAATTAATAACATTATAAATTTTTGAACATTTTTTTTCTCAGTGGGTGCAGTATAAGACTGCTTTAACAGCAGTCCTAATAGAAGTGCCTAAGCGCTTTCCTATAAGACCGCCACCTCTTAATGGCATAACAAGAAATTACAGGGTGGATAAAAGGACTTGAGATCAAGTTACTGCCCTGTTAGTAGTAGGGCTAACGGGGCTGCCTGCTACACACTTTGGATGTCAAACCAAGTTGAATCTAAAAGGGTTTCTCTCCTCTATGAGTTTACGTAGAGATGAAGCTGAAAAGGATTACTATACACACAAATATGGTATTACATACCTTTGATGGCTATCACAAAAACAACTTTGGATCATATTAGTTTTTTAAGACAGGAAAGTTGCTCCCTCCAGCCACTAAAACAAAAAGTTATACATGCTTCCTACATGTCTATATCTGTGTTACAAAATATTTCTAAATAGATTATATGAAAAAATCATACATGTTTAAAATAAGCTATGTATCTTAATTTTCTTTGAGGCTATATTGATTTCAAAGAAAATAAGGAAATCTTAATTTTTAGTCTTTAGAATTATTATTCTTTAATACTACTTTTACAATTTTAATACTACTATTACAATTTTGAGACTCTTTTATATATAGTGTATTTATTTTATTTTTATATGTATAATGTATAATAAAGCCGGCCTAAATCTAGGAAATTCTGAGAATAAATTTTGCTTTTCTATTCAACATTATACTATCTGATTACTGAAAAATATAATGTATATTGAACAACCATTTCCATATGGCCAACTGCAGTGAAGATGCAGCTGACTGTCATATTTTCATGGATTATAATAAAAATAATGACCTTCAAGTCAGGATTTCCCTGGACAGCAGTAACAATGTGAGGTAAAGAGCTGGCTAGCTCTTTACTAGGCACACTTCCCTAGTGAATGAGTTCCGCTTAATAAATCTTCAGTGTGGGAATCACTACATATTACTGCCTTTAAAAAAAAAAGGGAAAAGAAAAGAAGAGAAGAGAAGAGAAGAGAAGAGAAGAGAAGAGAAGAGAAGAGAAGAGAAAAGAAAAGAAAAGAAAAGAAAAGAAAAGAAAAGAAAAGAAAAGAAAAGAAAAGAAAAGAAAAGAAAAGAAAAAGAAAAGAAAAGAAAAGAAAATGGCAACTTACAAAGTGGGGAAACATCCGCATTGACATTTCCTCCTTTAGAATTCATCTTCTGGGCCTGACTTGCAGGAACAGGTTTATATGATTGACCTGTAGCTCTGTACATCGCTTGAACCCATAGTATCCGATCCTGCTCGTCGTCACTGGCAAATATTACTGTATCCCCTTCTTTAACAGCATTGAAAAACATTCGACCACCCTGAAGACCTGGTTCAGGAGATAGGAAAGTAATATTAACAAGAACAAGATACTTCTGCTTAACCTAAGGTTAGTAGCTTAATAAACTAGTTTCCTTCTGAGTATGGGGGAAGATTAAAAAAAAAAAAAAAGAACACAAATTTTCAAGGTATTTATGATCTGGCAGTATGAGAAAATCAAGAGCTACAGACATTAAATAGTAATATATGGAATAATAAATAAAAAACAAGAATAAATACAGAAAACGGGATTATTTCCACAAATTTGCGTTTGCTTTTTTTCTATTGGATTTTTTTCCCTTAGAGAACTTTTTGCTGGACCCCTTTATACTTTCAGTTTCCATTACATGAGTTCTATTCTTTAATTAGGCTTCTTGGGAAAAAAAAGCAAACTTTTTTGGTTTTGCTATCAGGTGACCTGGTAATTTTGACTAGTGCGCCCCATTCTTGCGGGATGATCAACAATGAAAAATGAGTTCTTCATCCATCATCTCCATGCCATATGCAAGTTTATATTCTTCTATTATACCCTCTTTCAAGGCATTACTTTCTTAGCTCAAAGTCACCATCTACTTATCTTTTCTTGAACAAAAGCAAGTCCATGCCTCTGTCATACCTGCTGCTCCTTTCTTTGTACTTTTTTGTTGTTGTAGCATTTCTTTTTTGAGAGAACATAACCAAAACAACACACAATATTCAATCTGGATGCAGAAGAGTCTTTTATGTGGTATAAAAGCTTTGGACTTTCCAGATATCTTCTAAATATTGCTTGCCTTTTCAGTTAGTTTAAACATTTAGTCAGTGTTTTCAAAGAACGACCGTCAATAACTTATAGGTCTCTTTCTTACACAAAAATAGTTAATTCATAACCGCCCACTGTGCAGCTACAATGTATTTTTCTCCACTTGCACAACTTGATTTGTCTTTGTTTTTTGCTAAGTTGTGTAGTTTGTAGTTGTGTAGTTTTTCTGATACCTTCTGCTCTACCTCTGATTAGTCTGAGTGACTTGTCTTCAGCAAGCACTGTTTTTATTCACCTCCTTTTCTACATCATATAGGAATCCACTTCACATTGCCAGATGATTCCACCATCAAAATAGAGAAAAAAGTGAAGCGCTGATCAGATCTTACTGGTTTTTTTTTGTATCACATCCACAGCTCTATAGCATTTCAGACAACTTTAGTGTGAGCTTATTGTTACTTCATCTTTGAACAGATTCTTATAAAATAATGATTTTTTCACACTAGAAAATCTTACAGGAGTAATTGGAACACATTTAGATGCAGGTAAAAAAAACAGTCATGGTATTGTTAGCTGGTAGATCAAGACAAACAAAGTGAGTAAGCTGTTTTACACAAACTTGTCATACTTCAAAATTAAGAAAGTACCTGTGTGAGGAGCTGTATAATCCACAGTATATCCTTCGAGCTGCATCAGTTCCTGAGGCTCAGATTTCTTTTCTCTGTAACTGCACATAGCGAATGTGTACTGGCTAACCTGAGTAAGAAAGGAGGGAGGTCTTAATTGCTGAATTCCATCCCACAGCTTTACCTGACAGTAGTCAGGGGCTAATGTTGTGTATCGCATGTGCCGCTGTGTAAACCAGCTCTCGGCTGGGCCAAAGAAATAAAAAATATTTTTTCAGAAATATTGTATACCATGCAAAACTGTCAGTATCCAAGCCTGTCAAAAGGAAGGAGAAAAGCCAAAACCATGCTTGCTTGTAGTTTTCTGAAATGTGATGTATTTTGTGGTGTAACTTAAAAGAAAAATTGAAAGGAAGTGAACTAGGTACTGTTAGGAAAAATTCTTGGTATTGGCCAAACTGCTCAGTCTGCTGCACGAGGGAGTCCTGTATTTCATGAAGCTGGAGAAAAAGAAGATGTTTTCTGTACAAAAATCCTCTATGCAGAGGGACTTACAGAATAATTATCATGCAGCTGAAAGCAAGAACACATAACCTGCAAAACACATAACGCTAACAGTTATTTTATTTTAAAATTTCAGAATCTTTCACACTTGCATTCAAACATCTCCATGTTGCTTAGATTGGTCGAATACGTGGCAGGTAAATCAAGTTTACATAAGTTACTTCTGAATGACTAAGTTAACCCCCCACACCAAAAAAAAAAAAAAGAAACTAAAAAAAAAGAATATAATTCATCATGTGATTTAAGATTCCAGAGACAGAATAGAAGGTGATAAGAAGAGCTAAAGAAAAACCAATTGGAAAGATAAGGAAAGGTAGCAGCTGAGGGAGGAAAAGCAATCACTGAAAGAAACTGTGGTGTTAAAAGAGCTGGAAAGACATAAAAGGTGACCAGAAGAAGCTGCTTCTCAATCTGAGAACATCTAAGACTTAAAGAAACCGATTTTTTATGGACATCTGCAGCTCCCATCTCCAGGATTCCTGGACTGTGGGATGTCTGGCCAACTCACTGGTAGGCTCTTGCTCCCTCTAGAAGGGCAATATCACTTGCTGGGTCTGCCAAATTACGGCAGGATCCAGTGATGCTTGCCTGATGGAGACAGTCCATCCTCTATCTCAGCTGTTGATTGCGTGGCTCACCATTCCTAGGGGCATTGCTTTGGTTACAGTTTCAAGAATTACATCCCTTTTGAAGTCAAATTTCAACAGCTGACTTCCACTTAATCCTCATTTTAGTGAATGCTGTACCTGCATACTGCTGCACCTCAAAACACGATGGCTTCAACTACTACTGACAAAAGATGTTTCACTTTTTATGTTTTATGTTTTACTGATATGCATGAAAAATAAAAATGGAAGGTATGTGATTATCTGCATAATGCTCTGAAAAATATTCCTTTGTATTCAGTATGTTTTTGTTACATTAATTCTGAAAATCCTTTGAAAAATTGGACTATGCATATCGTATACAATGACAGAATGTCCTCTTCCACAGAGCACACAAGCAAAAGAAGTAACAAATATAACAAGTATAACAGCTCTCTGTAAAATTCAACTAATTATTCAGCATCACAGCAAAATTCTACAGTGAAAAGAATTCTATGTTACAGAGAATTCTATTTATAGAGAATTCAACATTATAGCAAATTCTACATTATTATAATGTGGAATATAGAGATATTTCACATTAATTGAAGTGAGTTTTACAGAATATATAGTCCAAGTTCTGATTTTATGTATATAGTTTCTCTGTACATTATTAATTTATTGCAATTATATTAAGTAAATAAATAACAAATTCTCACGTAAAATAAATATGTGTTTGAGCAATATTGTAAGGTTAGAAGTCAGACAACCAAAAATTCAAGTTTAGTAAATCCACTTTAACGAGATGCAACAAGGAGAGACAACTAAACATAAATAAATGAAAAAAATATAGTCTATCATTTTCATAAACACAAATTTTCAGGCTAGAAACAATTACAATCAGCAAGCCTGTCCCCAGAATAACATACACTGCAGAATTTTACCTAGCATTGTGCATTGAGTCCATGATTTTACTTTCATGTATGTATCCTAGAAAAGTACTGTATTTTGGTTTAAAGGTTTTTAATAGGTTTTTAAAGGTTTTAATGAAGAATCTATCGCATCCCAAGCTAAGTTGTTTTAACCATCACCCATAATTTAAAATAAAAAACAATCTTATAGCTCCAGTCCTAACGTGTCTAGCTGTAGTCAGCCATTTGATTTTATCATTATTCATTTTTTTCTGCTAAAGAGTCATTTGTTATTCAAAGCACCTTTCCATTTAAATACTCGATTAAGTCATCTCCTTAACTTTTTTCCCTTTCTTGGCTGATTTAAATTGGGTTTCTCTAGTTTTATTATAAGACAACTTTTCCAGACTGTAATTCTCACTTTCACTCCCACTGCCTTTGACCACTTGTTGCTCATTTCTCCCCTTCAGCCACTGGTAATGTCCATGAATTTGTATACTTAGGAACACATTCCGGTGAATATTCTGTACACATACATAAGTTTTTACTTAGCTTTAGCTGAAAAAAAAACAAGATTAAATTTTAGAATTTCCACTTTCTCAAGATAAAGTCCAAACTCCTCTTGACAGCCACCAGAAAGGCAGCAAGAACCAGCTTGTACCTGAAATATTCAGATAAAGATTATTCATTAAATAAACGGATGTTTCTTAAATTATAGAACAAATGAAATTAAAGTGTCAAAAGCAAATCTGTATTTAGATTAAATTTAGGAGATATCAGATGGTAAACAAGTAAGTTAAGCATTGCAAGGCCAGTTGTGGCTTCTTTCTGAACATGTCTTGTCTCTGTCTTTTTTCATTTTGAAATGGATAGCCTTCTAGAGAAGTGACTGAACTGCAAAAGCTAAAGCAGTAAATATAACAAAATCATTAAAATTTTAAGAGTCTGTAACCTTCTGATAATGCTAAACAACCAATACAAATGACCCATAATTTCTACTGTGTGCAGTAATCACAACATGCACATTATTCATGTTACTCTCCTGAAAAATCAGCATTATTCATCTAATTTCACTCCTGAGTTAGATTTCAAAAATGTGTAAATCATACTGATAACCTCTATCTTATGACTAAATTTCATGTCCTTAGTACAGCTTGACATAAGCTAAAAGCTAGGCTATAGAGGAAGAATCAATATGTCAATAACAAACCAATACAATAGGCTGATATTGCTTAGTGATTGCTTATTTCACACGTGTCAATTTAAGCAGACTGTCAGTATTAAGTAATACGTGGATTATATAAATGAGCCAGAGCTGTCAATATTGATTTAAGGCAGTATCTTTTATACAGCCTTATTGATTTTGCGAACTGCTCTGAAGTGATATCTATATTCCATCATAGTTGGAAATTCCTGTAATATTCTTCCTTGATATTTCAATTTCAGAATAGAAAGCAAAAGATAGCTAAAATTAACTTGGCTGGAATTGACTATTCTCTCTATTTTTCTAATACAACATGGACAAAAAGATCACAGGTCTCTTAGGGGCTTTTTTGCACTTCAAAACTCAGCTTTAGTCTGTGGCTTGGAAGAAGGAAACACGTAGAATCATGTAGAGGTTTACTAACAAGTCTAACAAACAGACTCATCCAGATTCGAGATCCCAACATTTTCGCTCTTGTAATTTCAAGGTTTGGTTTCAAACACTGCTCAATATATGGATTGATTCATTCATTTGTAAAAGTCAGTGATACTTAGGTTTATTAAATATGCAAGTTTAAATAAATTATCGAGGAAGTCTCTGTGCTGTAAGAAGCTTGGAATTGCGCCCCAGGACCTGAAGATACTGATTTACAAATTATTTCAGAGACCATAAGCAACACAACTGGTGGAGTTTTTAAAGAAGTCTTCATCTGACAGGTAACTAACCTGAACAAGGACAAAGTAGCGTTTTTTCCACCGCTTCCAAACCTTCTGTCCTAGAGCATACAAATATCTGCAAAGGAAAAAATAAGCTAATGTAGTTATTCCATTCCTTAAACATGATATTAGGAGCAGCAGTGCTTTTTTTTTCTATTTACTTGGAACACAAAAATACATAGCAGATTCTTTTTAGTTAAAACTAGGCTTTATAATAATAATAAAAAACAGTAACTAAGAATTACACATTATAAGGCTTACTTGCTCATCAGCTTTATTTTGCCAGTTACCTTTAAAATTATACCACAGCTTAAAATAGAACAATTTGACTGCACAGAAATACTGAATATTGGAAAAATTCAACTCCTCCTGACTTATTTTATTTTATTTTACATATATAGTTTTGGTTTCCATAGATCTCTCTGCTTGTGTTGCCTGTAAGAAGCCAGTCACAGTATGAGTTTGTGAAAACACTCAAGTAACAAAATGCCAGCAAACAAGCAAGAATAAGGTTTTTCCGGTGTAAACAACAGATTTACTGAATACCAGTTGTCCACTATAGAGACTGTTAAATTAAAAACAACTCCTTTTTCATTAGGCAACTTCCAGACTTTGAATCAGGTGCTTTATCATTTGGTGAAGAAGCACCTTCATTATAGATGAAATTACAGACAGTTTTTGGTATTGTGTCAACGTATTTTTGACATTGTGGTTATGTTGCCACATGGTTAACAGAAAGCAAAAGAGGAAGAGACTGGGCTCCATGCCTGTCAGGAAGAGCCTAAAAGGAGCTGCTGCTTATGAAACCAGAGAAGGGAGTAAAACATGACCTATGAGATATCCCATCTGGCTGGTTGGCCTCTGCCAAGGGCCACTAGAACAACTAGCACTGGACCAAACAAATCCTGGCCTCAGGGACTGCCCGGAACAACCGAACACTCAGTTCTCAAATGCTACAGCACAAAGACAACCTTATCACGTACCCACCCTTCTTGTCTGAAATAACCACAAAGGATTCAAAGGCGAAGGGAGAATTCCTCCTAGGCTATACTAATCTTTTTTATGGTCAGCAGTGGTAACTCTGTTCTAACAGGAACACAGCAGAAAATGAACAGCCTAGACTGGGGTGGAAAAATGTTTTTAAAAATCAAGGTCTTAATAGTACATTTTTGGCTTACAGGAAAAAAAACAGTTGTTTTTAAAACTATTTTTTGTGTCAGATATGCCACATATGGCAGGTATAGGCAGAACTGACAAAAGTTACACTGAATCAATAATTAAAACATAAGAAAGCATTAAAAAAAATAAATACCAGTGTTCATTTCTTCCTCCTATAAATCACACTTAAGTAAGGTGCTAAAGAGCAGGTTATTTGAGGAAATAAAGTAGCATAAAATTCACTATGTAGCTTTAGAAAAACTGTTAGTCTTAGATAAGAATAAGTTACAAAGACATTAGCATTCATGAGATAAAGCTAGGATTTAATATAGAAGTGCAAAACCTTATGGTACTTAGTTTTACAAATCAGTATGAACACAGAGTGAAAACCTTACACCATTAATCCCTCCTCCAGTGCATCTCTCATGGTGACACCTTTTTTCCTATGGCAGAAAATTTAAGTCATTTCCAAGAGATTTAGTTAATGCTCATTTCAAGTGCACAAGCTTCTGTAAAATCAGAAGATTAATACTTACTCAAGAGTCTAACACTTACATCCTGAACCAACTACATTCCTAGACTCCTAAAGCCTATTTAAGCTTCTCTTACCCACTCATTTCCCACTGAAATCAATAAGAAGTGAAGAACCTAGAAACCTTGTTAAACTCAGACAATTATATTTAGGATCTGAAGAAACTACAGTTCGTGTCCAGGACAGAAGAAGAGTCAATTCTGAGATATAAATGTTACCTGGGTTTCACAAATTTTCACAAGAAAACCAAGAGTTCAACAGATGTAGAAAGGAACTAAAGCTAAGTTGAAGAATATTTTGATTTCAGGATTAGCAGTTGTATGATTCTGAACAGGTCTCAGTTAAATGTTTGTAACACAGACCAGAGCAGCCTCTCTTATAGCCACAAATTCACAGACCTGCCAGTTTCTCCCTATGCATATGCATGGTTGCATTCATCTACAAGTTTAGCTTGCTCTCTCCAGCCAAAAATATCAACAAGAAATTCAAACTCTTGTAAGTACTTTCAGCAGCAATAAAAAAACATACAACAGCTATTCCTTCAAATGCTGTACCTTTCTTTACGTAAAATATTCCACAGTATTCAACCACCCTCACAGTCAAAAAGGGTTGTCTTATGCTCAAGTGGAGTTTCTTGTGTTTCAGTTTTGCCCTCTGCCTCTTGTTCTGCCACTGGGAAGCACTTGGGTTTGTCCCCTTGGCAGCCTCCCATGAGGTATACACATACATGCAGGTAATATCCCTCAGAGCCTTCTCCTCTCCAGCCTGAACAGCCTCGAGCTCTCTCAGCCTTCCCACATAGCAGAGAGGCTCCAGCCCTGCACCATCTCGGTGAACCTTCCACACCAGCAGCTCTGCCTTGCCCCGGGGAGCCAGGCCCCTCGGGCCCTTCCTGCAGAGCCTCTTTCCAGTCCGTCAGCCCCAGCCTGTGCTGGCTGGTTATTCCGCCCATGGTGCAGGACTTCACAGGACTCCGCATTTCCCTCTGCAGAACTTCACGGAGTTCCTGCCTGCCTGCTTTCCAGCTTATTAAGGTTGCTGAATGGCAGTGTAACACTTCTGTGTATCAGCCACTTCTGCCAGTTTTGTGTCCTCTGCAAACTTGCTGAGAGTGCATTTGGTCTTATAATCTAGTTTATCAATAACAAAATAATAGATTGGACCCAGTGTTGACCCTTGGGGGACAGCACTAGTGATGGCTTCCAGCTCCCCTCAATGCTGCTGGCTGAGCCTGGCAGTTCAGCTAGTTTTAACTTGACCTCAAGTCCATTCACCTATCCTGTACCTCATCAGCGTGTCTATGAGGATGTTATGGGAAACACTGCCAAATACCTTAGTGAAGTAGAAATAACAATCATCCACTACTCTCCCATCGTTATCGAACATTTTATAATACAGTTCAGCAGTAAAATTAAAATTTCAACCGAAGGCAATAACTTTGTAATCACTTCCTTTAGACTTAAGCTTTTAAAAACACTCCCAAAGTTTTCTTTTCTTAAACCATGATTTAATACTTCACTCTTCTTCAATCCAAAATTGAAATGTGAATGTTGCAACTACTATAAATTAGCCTGGTTCCTCACTGTGTACAAAGTGGTAATAAAATAAACATTTAACATGCATATTTCATTTCAGGGCAAAAAAAAATACGAGGCTGCTACTTACCACATTTCTACTATAAAATACTGAAACACTTGGATAAATATGTTTTATATGTCACTGTCTCAGGCAGTATTATTTTTCCCTTTGGAAATGGACAGAGTAGAAAAACAAACTAATCAACCATTTCTTAGCTAAGTCTGATGGTTACTAATTTTTGAATACATAAATTTTGAATATTTTTCTAAGTTCATTCCTCTGTAATATAAAAATTCAAAAACACACCACTAAATATCATAATTCAGTTTTGATTATATGATGACATACATAGGAAAGAAGATAGCAGCTTATTTGCTCCAAGTCCACACTGCAAGAGCACAGGATACTACTTTTTGATGAAAAAAACAGCACTGATGAATAGCTAAAAAACATAATTGAGTGAGGAATACTGGAGCTATTCACTGCTGGAGAAATAAGAAAGGACTTATTACTTCTGCAGAGATCATTTTTAGACCAGCCTTTTTATTCTAAGGAACGAAGCAATCTATCTACATCTTGAATGATAAATTCTCTACTTGTAAAAGGCTTCATTTATCACAAACAATCAAAAAAATACAGAAAGAAAAATCAATACATGTAGCAGTTTGGTCCAGCAAAGGCCTTTCTTAGAGAGAAACCTCAGTCAAGGTTGAAAGAGCAATTAATGCAGTCTCAAAAATCTGGGCCATTCTGATAGACTTCGGTTAACATGTGGCAGAAGTAATCATCCACTTGTGAAAATGATTTTCAGTTCATTCTCAAACACCTTTCAGACACTCATGATCCCATTTAACTGACAACAATACAGGCTATCTGTGGGCATCATTGCCTTCTATGTGAGAACCAATAGGGACCGAATGCCCACAGGCACTTTCAGGCATCCCTGGCTTCTCTGTCCCTTGCATAAAAGGAATCTTCCTTGCACCACATTCTTTCTTTTATTTAACCCCGCAAGATTAAGCCATTTTTTTTTGTCTTCAGTTGTGGATAAGAGATAAAACTGATTCAAGACAACAATATGACCTGGGTCATCAGAAGCCCAGCAATACACATCCTCTGATTCATTTTAGTACTTTCTCTGCTCTTGAGAAAGAGAACTAAATAAGCCTTCAACAGATGGGGAAAAAAATCACCCTAAACTTCTGTTGTAATTATGATTGCTAAAGATACAGACAACTTGAGGAGTATAAAGTAATACAAACACCACAACCAAGGAAAACATATTTCCAAATATTCCAATGAGACACTCATGAACAGAAAAAAAAATGTTTTTTTTTTCCTTCTACGCAATTTTTCATTTAAAATATTAGATGGATATAGGTATGCTAGAGGATTAGACATGTTTGAATTCTTTAATGCTGATAATTTTTTGCAATCCTGATCGCTTCAATATTTGTGAATTTGTATGCCCGTCCTAAGAGAAACTGTAAAGTAATGGCAGTGGCAACTTGAAAATAATTAATCCCATTCATGTCATCTCATGAAACCAAGCTGCTATGCAAACCAGAAACATTCATCATGACAACAAACATCCTTTAACCTTGAGAGGCAAGAGAAGATGATATCCTTCAGATATAACTTTAAAAAATTCCTAATTCTAATATAATCTAATTATAATGTAAATACACCTATTTAGCATTCCTAATATTCCTAATGCAACACACCTGTGAAACAGTTGATGCTGAGAGCCAGACATCCACCTTCTATGTGTTTTGGTGTGGTTTACCTTAGACGAGTTCTAGCCTGGT